AAGCGTATAAACTCTCACTTTTTTAAAAAAACAGTTTGGAGGTCAAAATGATGCTACATTAAAAATTATTTTGAATTGCATCGGATAAGTATTCAATTTTTGCTTAAATAACATGGTGGCAAAGTCACCCCATGTGGCCTGCTATTCACTTGGAAAAATCGCCACCAAAATTTTTAGCTAAATAAAGTGACAAATGCCAGTTTTGTTGGATATGCTAACTTAACAGCCTTGTCATGATCAACCATACCAAGCTTCAGCATCGCAGGTGGTCTAAGACATTGTTAGATAATAAAAAGTTTGGAACTCTTCAAATTTGGCCATTTCAATGACTCCAATAAAATGGAGCCCAGTTAGGTATTTAGTGGTAACTTACCTATCAGTGTTAGTTATATTGGGAGGCCCATCAATTACCTTTCATTTGTGCATAAAATATTACTACATTCCTCGTAAAATATCATGGGAGATCTCCCTAAATCATTTTTCGAGAAGCATGGCAAAGTCACCCGGCGAGGCAAAGTCACCCCCGTTTACGGTACTAGGAATAACTCAGCTACTACTGGGCCAATTGCGCTGAAACTTGGACTGTGGGTGGAGGGGGCACTCACCTGGCGATGCATGGTCGTTTGTCACAGGTAGGGTGGATCGATTGCACGTGCGCACGTGAGGGGTCCGCTTCTACATCTCAAGAACGGCTGGGCCGTTTTCGCTCAAATTTTATACACTGTTGGGGACAATTTAGAAGGGTGGCTGGCACAAGTCATCTGGAGTCTCAGTTCGCGCGTGCGCACGTGCAGTTGGCCGCTTTTATATCTCAAGAACGGCTGGGCCGATTGTCTATTGTTAGAATGAAATTTGAAGTTAAATTTTCAACCTTGCGCGACAAAAAAAAAACTTGCTGAAGATGACACGCAATGAAAGCGTCTTTTTATTGATTTAGGATCACCGGGGGTGGGTGGCCCGAACCTCCCGGCTGAGGACGCCAGAATTTGCGTAGCATGTCAGCTCATAATCTTGCAAAAACAATATTATTTATTTTATTTCATGGTGCATGATTGAGTTTACCAAAATGTGCCCAAGTGACCTCCATGAAGTAAGCTGTTGGCCGCTTATGCGGTCCCTGGGCTCTAAGAGAGATCAAGGTAGATACCAGCTACGAGTATTGTTCTCATTGTCGAGAAAATAATATGAAACATGGCACCGGCCCATACCTCCCGGGCCATGGCCCATAGCTCCCGGTGTATTCTGAGGATCGAAAAAGCACATTATTTATTGAAATTATCTCGAGACAAAATAGTTGATCCCAGACAGGTGGGCACGATCCGTTCCTCCGTTCCGGAACGCCGTTACAATTTTTACACGGTGCGCAAAAAGTTCTGGCCCTCTTACAGCAAGCGCTCCTACGCGTGCTGCGGCTGCTTTTCGGGAAGCCAATAGCCGCACGCAATATCTTCAAGGATCCTGCTACACAGCCAGATGTCGAACAAAGCAGACCAATATAGGGGAGGTCCTGGAGGATGCCCCCAGGTCAAGCCGGTCACGTCCAGTCAAAACTCTGAGAATGTGACTGCCGTGTCTTGGCCATCCAGGACAGCCCTTGGTCGGGTGGCAAAAAGTGTCCAATCGTCTTCATTAACGCCAATAAGAAGATGAACGGGACGATGTATGAGCGTCTGCTTGACAGCGACGTCATCCCATGGATCCCGAAGACGTATCCGAAAGTCGATTTCGTTTTCCAGCAGGACAGAACACCCGCAAATAACGTAAGTTCCATCCAGCACAAGCAAACGGAGGAGCTCGGAGGAGAGGCCCATTGCTGGCTTAATGAGATATTGCCCCTTAGTCACCCGACCTGAACCCATTGACTAAAGCATCTAGAGCGCGTTTTCTAGGATGAGGAACAGGGAGTGTCCCATTCCAATTTGGAGGCCCTGAAGGCACACATCGTGAAGATGTGGGAGACGAAGGACCCCACTACTCATCAAGACATGCAAGCCTTTCCGCCTCCGTGTGGAGAGGTCATATTGCCGATAAGGGTGTTATATCGCGCATAAGGCGAGTGAAAGTATCTGGTTTGATAATGCAAACCAGTATTTGGTGTTAGCGTTGATAATATTCACTCCGATTGCATTCGTTTATCGAAGTTCAGAAATGGGCCAGAACTTTTTGCGCATCCCGTAGGAACGGAGGAACGGACTCGTTACATTTTAAAAAGGGGACCAAGTAACTTCCGTTACATTGGTTGTTCGTTCCTACGTTACACTTAACAGTTTAGTCCGTTCATTCGTTCCTCCGTTACTTTTCGTTGTGCGAGCGGGTTGATCTTTCAGCTAACCCACAGACATTAATGCAGCAGCGGAATAGTGGATTATTGAGCAGCCCTGACTTGAAGAAGGAAGATGGCCTCAGTGTACTGGCCTTCCGAAATGAGCCGGCGTTGCAGTATGTGTTCGCAAAGTTCAACACGGGCGTCCCTTTAAGCGCCTCAGTAGAGCGCATGTTCTCAATGGGAAAAGATGTGCTACGTGCAAAAAGGGCTACCCTCTCAGAAAGTGGCAGCGGAACATCTTCAATTAAAGGGACCCTCCCAGGCTCCCACCTTAAAAAAGTTAATGAATTGGCATGAAAGTTATGTCGCTCGATTCAGAAAGAGCAAAAACGGTTATCTACCAAATTTCACCGAAAAATATTCACCGGTTTTCAAGATATTAGACTTTTACTTTTGTTTACTTTTTTGGGATCTCCGCTGTTCCTAGCGACTTTATTTGAAAGTGCGGCATTTGTTGCGCGCAAAGCAGCATATACCACCGCGTGCTGCCAAACGTTTTAGTAAAAGATTTAAAAATCGTTAGATCTCCGCTGACGTCACAAATTCTAAGGGGGCATACCAATGCATTAGCCCCTTAGAATCCGAAAACTGCAAGTTTGAAATTCCATATCTCCGAATTAAAGCATTTTTCGATATTGTGAGTGCCCAAACCGGTATTTGCAGGCCATGGCCACCAATTTGGCTATCTCAACTCAAAACTAATGTTAAGGTGGGATGGTCACTTTAAGGGGGGGGGGGCACTGCCGATTTTTGGTCCCATTCTTTCCATGCAACGCACATAGGGCTAATGTTAAAATGCCAAAATCAAAGGGGGGGGGGCACGGTGCGCCGGTGCCCCCCCCCCCGTTCCGCCGCCTATGCTCTCAGATGCCAACCTGGAACGTCTAGTGTTCGTGAAGGGTAACCGGCATCTGGCCTGGGACAAGTGATGTGCGCATGGGTACCTACCACCAGACGTTCCAAGGTTTAGTGTCCTTGGAAGTTGGAACGTCAAGGACGATGTCCTTGGAAAGTCGTCCTTGGTCCTTGGAACGTGCCCGTTGTCATGGTAGATTTGGTGGGCATTCCGCTTTCTCGGTAGGTTTAGTTTGTGTCAGAATGGTGACATGGTCTCAAAAATGTGTGAAATACACAACATTTTAACGTTTTTTATTTTGCTGTTACGGAGTAACGGACTAAAGAACTTCCGTTACATTATATGCAGAGGAACGGAGGAACGAGTAACGGAAGTCACGTTTTGAAGGAACCGAGGACCGAGTAACGAAGTTACAATTTTGGGGAACGATGCCCACCTGTGATCCCAGATGCCTAATGTCAGGCACACTTTGCAGGCGAAAGGCAATTTCACGTGTGCAGAGTGCAAAACCCGGGGCCTAGCCACTGCCCACTGGAAGAAAATTGCCTTTCCACAAAACCGGCCCATACATCCCGGGTCTCCCTACACCTTTAACCCTCGCCGGACCTATTGGTTTTCTACATACGCGCCGGCCGAGGGGGGGGGGGGCGGGTACGACCCCCCCCCTCGCCGTTTCGCCCCTGGTGGAGCTAGCGCGTCGCGGAAAAAACGAGCGTGTGCGCCGTTACGAGACGCAGAGACTGGTACCCGATTTTAAGGTCCTAGGTCAACCGGTGACCTCTGAGGTCAGGTCAAGTGCCCCAGGGTACGGTTCAGTTTTTGGTGAATAACTTCGCAAAAAAAGGCCGCAGAGCGCCGATTTTGGCAGCATCGTGTTCGCCTCGCTCAGGCGCGTCGAATGATATACTTTTTGTCCGGGTCAGGTCAACTTGGGGTGTTGACCTCAGGTCAAGGTCAGGTCAGCACCCCCAGGTCACGAAGTTGGTCGAAAGAGGTCATGTCGCATATCATTCGATTCGGCAGGCCTTCCTGAGTCCATTGGTGCCTTTCCCGACTCGCTAGCTCAATTTGATCAAGAGTTATTGACGAAAAACTAATTGACCTTGATGACGTCATAAATGACGTCACGCAAGGTCAACATTGCAAAAGTGACGCATCTAACCTTGCAAGGAGTGCATCAAATCACGATTCTGTGTGCTTGAGATAGTTAGAGATCGTTCCCGGCGCCAGAATAGCAGTTTGAATTTTTCCCCATTGACTTATAATGGTGAGGTCACGAAAATGACCTGACCTCATATGACCTTTAGGAAAAATCCGAGATATACAAGTTGTGGGACTCATAATGGATACTAGATCCTGCAAGTTTCATTTCCCTGTGACATCTCCTCTGGCAGTGAGGGCGTTGCGAAGTTGCGACATCTGAAGACCGTGCAGAGGTTCACTTATGACGTCATAGGTCAGTGACCTGACCTGACCCAAAAATGCGGTTGGTGTCAAAAGATCCGGCTTGGATCAAAGGTCAGCTATGCCAAGTTTCAGCTCTCTATCGCCAGCGTGTTCGGAGCTATCGCGAAAAAACCCTATGGGGGGGGGGCGGCACCCGCCCCCCCCCCCCCTCGGCCGGCGAGGGTTAATTTCTACCCGGCCTATACCAATGTTAAGGTGGGATGGTCAATTTAAAAGTCACGGAGAGCGAGTACGTGGGTCCAAAAGTGGCGTTGCTACTAGGCAGGTCGGACAAGCCGAGCCGTGTGTAATAGCTGTGACCGGGCTCGGCAGGTCTGTGCCGTGTGTACTAACTGTGACCGGGCTCGGCAGGTCGAACCTGGATGATGACAAGGAGCGGGCGGAGGAGAGCCGCCTGGAGGAGGAGCTCGGCCTGCTGGAGGACGACCACGTCCTGCGCGAGTTCATCGAGCAGCGCATGCGTGAAATGGCCGCCGGGGGACCCCAACGGTGAGAGAGAGAGAGAGAGAGAGAGAGAGAGAGAGAGAGAGAGAGAGAGAGAGAGAGAGAGAGAGAGTGAGTGAGTGAGTGAGTGAGTGAGTGTGAGTGAGTGAGTGAGTGAGAGAGAGAGAAGAGAGTGTGAGAGAAAGAGTGAGTGAGTGAGTGAGTGAGAGAAAGAGAGAGAGTGAGTGATTGAGAGAGAGTGAGTGAGTGAGTGAGTGAGAGAGAGAAAGAGAGAGAGAGAGGTGAGAGAGAGAGAGAGAGTGAATGAGAGAGAGAGTGAGTGAGAGTGAGTGAGTGAATGAGTGAGTGAGAGAGAGGGAGAGTGAGTGAGTGAGTGAGTGGTGAGTGAGAGAGAGAGAGAGGAGTGAGTGAGTGAGTGAGTGAGTGAGTGAGTGAGAGAGATTGAGGGAGAGAGTGAGTGAGTGAGAGAGAGAGAGAGAGTGAGTGAGTGAGTGAGTGAGTGAATGAGAGAGAGAGAGTGAGAGAGAGAGAGTGAGAAAGAGAGTGAGTGTGAGGAAAGAGTGAGTGAGTGAGTGAGAGAAAGAGAGAGAGTGAGTGAGTGAGTGAGTGAGTGAGTGAGAGAGTGAGTTAGAGAGAGAGAGTGAATGAGAGTGAGAGAGAGTGAGTGAGAGTGAGTGAGTGAATGAGTGAGTGAGAGAGAGGAGAGTGAGTAGTGAGTGAGTGAGTGAGTGAGTGAGTGAGTGAGAGAGAGAGAGAGTGAGAGAGAGAGTGAGTGAGTGAGTGAGTGAGAGAGTGAGAGAGTGAGAGAGAGAGAGATTGAGGGAGAAAGAGAGTGAGAGAGAGAGTACGAGAGAGATAGAGCCTTTTCTCCTTTGAAAAGGCGCTCGCCTTTTCTCCTTTGAAAAGTGAGTCGGTCCCAAAGTATTTACGAGCGAGGTTAGGTTAGGTTAGGTCAGGTTAGGTTAATTTCGGCTAATGGGGTTGGGAACTCGATTTTTTAAGAATGCATGAAAATGATCAAACTATTTTCACAGAATTTATGGTGCATACCATTGCCTCATAAAATCAATAAGCTGAGAGAAATGGGGGAAGAAAGATAGGAAACTTGTTTTGAAAAGTTCTTGAAAAAAGATGCTCTTGATGCTGTTACGTCACATGTCACCTTCTGCGGTTGACAACTAATGGCGCATCTGGCGCACCACAGATTACATGTTATATCAGGCCGCAGACTTGTAAACGACTCTGAGTTGATTCGTGAATCGACTCAGAATCAAACCGTTTTTCGATGAGTCATGAGTTGATTCGAATCACTTCATCGAGGAACTTGATGAGTCATGAGTTGATTCGAATCAATTAAATTTAACATCATGAGTCATTTGATGAATCGATTCAAATTTTCAGACTCAAACAAAGAATCGACTCAAAAGAAATTTGAGTCGTTTACAAGTCACCATCAACACCCTAATAATCAATGCTAGATCACCCCCTCAGCTTTAGCCATCACTTAACTCCATATTTCAGACTTACAAGAGCCTCAGAGGCTCAGGCACAGGCGCCTAATGAGCCAAAAGCATTTGGCAGTTGGTAGGTACTTAGTCTTACCAAACCAAGTGCCTGCTACACTACCTAGGTACCTACATTTTACATTTCAGAAGTCAGAATTGACACCTGCGGCTGCCTCCCCTTCTCCCAGTCCCAATTTGGTCCCAATAATCAATCAACAGCATGAGAGTTTGGGCGTCCATAGAGTCAAATACGCCCAAACTACCTATAGCCTATAAACTACCTATAGGCTATGCTATAATACAAATAAACTCACCTATAAACCGCAAAATTGCGATGCTCAACTGCCAATAAACCACAAAATGCACATTTTCCCATGAAATAGAAGTTTAAAAAGAAACTTGTTTTATGACATCATAGAATCTTCAGAATAATGTAAAGGAGCGTTTCCTCAGCGATCTACATTCGCCTAAAATATGTAGGTACTATGAGTGACGTCATGAATTCGAGAATAGAATGTGAAAGTCATAGTATGTTTTAAGAAAACTACATTAATGGCGCAGTTGATAACTTTCACGTCTGAATCTCGTGACAAATTGGCCGGATGACGTTGCCCGAATTGCACCAATGACAATTTATTTTTACCAAAAGGCAAAAGAGCCACTTGGTCAGTGCTCCGGTGCTCCTGATATCGATTAATATTCAATGACGTCATTTTTAAACTAAAATTGTAGACAAACAATTTTTTTTTATATTCCTTGTCCGCAGCCAGTTTGAGTTGGCACTGCTAAACTAGGTGCCGTTTGGAGAATGTATATTGTATACCTACATTAACTACTTTCAAATGAGTCTTAACTCAAGATCATATCTGATTCTGAGGCCTGAGCCACTCATGCCCTCGTGGCCCATGGAGTCCCTGCTGATGGTGATGCTGAATGTTTCACAGGTGGGATTAATCCTATTTTTGAGGTTGTACTGTTTGAATAATTTTATTTGATAATTAAGAAGTAGTAACATTTCTCTCATTATCATGTATAAAAAGTTTGATTAAAAAAAAACATGAATGCCTCTCGGAACTTGTGCTTTTGAATTTTCAAATAAGACTTTCTAGGTAATAATAAGAGATAGGTTACTAGCTACTCCTTAGTCCTTACTTATATTATAATTGTCTCTCAGAGTTACTTAAAAATTTATCTGACATTGCACTGTTGACTGTTGAGTGTTGAAGATAGGTAGGTGTAAGGTAGGTACCTATGTACCTAGTCCTACTAGGTAGCTGCTTGAATCTTTGGTCAAGGCTACCTACTATGCTGCTTAATACAATTGTGGTATGCGGCATATTCATTTTATCATAGCTTTGAGTCAAATAATCAACAAATGCCTATAGTGAGTCATGGGTTGAATGAAATAAGTTCAATAAAAATGTCGTGTGAGTCATGAGTTGATTTGAATCGATTCATCAAAATGTGTGAGTCATGAGTTGATTCGAATCATTCCGTTGGCTAGTTGCTCGAGCCATGAGTTGATTCGAATCATTTTATCGAGGAACTTGATGAGTCATGAGTTGATTCGAATCAATTAAATTTAACATCATGAGTCGTTTGATGAATCGATTCAAATTTCCAGACTCAAACAAAGAATCGACTCAAAAAAAATTTGAGTCGTTTACAAGTCTGTATCAGGGGCGTCGCCACGGATTTTTGAGTGGGGGGGTCGGGTTTCTAGTCTTCACCCGATGGGTAGGGGTGTTTTTTTTTGCCACACTTCCCAGTTTTGTGCGTGCGTATGTGTGTGTGTGCGTGTGTAACAAATCGGTGCGCAGCGCCGCCAAATTTGGTATAACCTATTAGGTAGGTATACCTACATCACTTGCGTAAAACTTATCACTGGTCACTTAAGGTCAGGTCGCCATGTCAAGTTCAGTTATACGGTATACCTCTATAAAAAACTTTCCCCTCTCGCCATTCTTGTAGCTTGTCTCCCATAACTTCGAAATTTGGTACACTGTATAGGTAGGTACCTAATGTATGGGGTTATACGTGTCAGCAATTCATGATTCTAACTGAGCCAACTGAGGATTTACATCTATGATCTGAAGGCAGGTCAAATACGTGACCTCATCATTAGAAAATAATGAGAAATTATAAAAGCACGAATGCCTCCTGCTTGAAAAAGTTCGTCAGAAACGCAAAATATCTTTGGAGCCATGACAAATCAGCTCATCATTGCCAGGGACAGGGTGCAACTTATGGCGAGTGATGACTCGAAAGGTCATTAGTGGAAATGTCCATCGATGGCCACCAGCATTTTTTTCTACAACTTTTGACGAAGACGCGGTAGAGCGATGACAGCACCTGGAAGGTATTCACTGTTCAGCTCAACAACACGGATCCATTCAATGTGCAGCAGGAGGTCCTTTTTCGATCAGGACATAACGTTGACCTGAGGTCGTTTTAACGTTAATTCTGAATGGTCAAATTTTAACTCATGTGACGCGTCTCAAAGAGATCAAGACGGTGGTGACAAGACAACATATGTACATACCATACAAATTCACGGAATCTAAAGTTATTGCAAAGCAGAATGTTTCGGCAGAATCTGTCCAGTTAGCTGTTTGCCTTCTTATGGGCAAAACATAGACCTGAGATGAAATCTAACGCGAAGCTAGCGAAAGAGCGTTAAAAGAGCTATCAAATATGTTTTCTGCTTCACTGTAGCCCTTCTATTGGTGGTTTCCCAGTCGCTAACGTATAACGTATACTAAACTAACGCTGAGGCATGCTTTCGACCCCTGATCGATCTACAGGTTTGCGGAAAAAAGAGCATGCTGCCCGTGACGAGAGAAAGCCGATGATACCCATTTACAAGTTTTCGGGTCATCTCAGGACTCAGGTCATCGCCAATACGTAGGAAACTCGGGACCTGCTAGACTTACGAATGTAAGTTGTGATGGTTTTTCGAGGTTCTGATTACGAATGTTATCTTAGTTTTGAACGAAGATGATGACTCCATGCATTTGGGGTAGATCAGGTCAGGTCAGATCGACCAGTACCTAATAGTGGATGACCACCACCGATTGCTTCCTAGCATGTTATATGAATAAGCAACACAACTACTTCTTAAATGTTCAGATGGGCGCTAAGTTCAAAATCAGCTCCAAAAACTACCCTATCAATTAAAAGCACGTTATGAAAAAGTGAACTAAGGTCATCTTTATTTGAATCAGGGATATCGATTTATTTTAAGTAGGTGATTAACTCGAGCGCACCGGAAGTTTTGTTGCAATCGGCTCCTTTTTGCGCGACTTCTTTGCGAAAGCCCGAGACGGTTCCATCTGACTCCCTTTCCCCTACATGTGCACTGTACAGCTAGTTGTGACGGTAGCCATGGGGCTGAGGCTAGTTTGTAGTTTTGTAGTTAGGTACTGATCCGACGAATCGACTGCGACCATTTTTTTTAAACGATCAGACGAACGCTCGGGGCAGTTTTGGCGCGTCCAATCCTTTGAGGGATAAAAAGGTAAGTACCTTTTTAGTACCTAC